TTTTCATCTCGCCCAACAGATTTACCGACAGCACTCGCAACGGCACAAGAGATGGAACAGAACCAGCAACATATAATTTTGCTCAAACCGTCGCTACGTCAAGGAATTTTTCAGTGCGAAGAAACAACAATAGACAAAATAATCTAGTAAATCACTTTCAAAATAAACAATTTGCCCAGCATACACTGCATTATCATCGTGTTATGTGGATTTATTCCACATATTTGTCAAATTAAGTTTTGTCTTACTTTGTATCAAGACAAATAAAAAACAAAGCGCAATATCACACTTTTGTTTAGGAATTTATCATACACACAAAGTAACGCTTCCTGTTTACACTATTTCAAATGCATTGAAGCTTACTTACTGTTTATGCTGATTCAGCTATGATCACTGTAGTCAAGCTGTACACAGTATTCTTTGTTTTCTTTATGAACAATATTGCGCTTATGGTTCCTCCTATAGGAATCAACTTACATACGACAAACACCACCGCATTTGTCTTAAGAATGCAAATCTCAGCATAATTGATTTGGTTTGGTTAGCTTTTGCTTGATTCTTTAAATTCAGTTCGAGTCAAGCCAACAAAACATCAACAGCTTGTTTAAGCTCATAACAGTCGGGATATACCAGTTCCAATGGAAGTGGACTATGGAACTTCATATTATCGAAGACCAAATAAACAGCAATTCCATCAACAGCCAAATATATTAATCCCCCAACAACAGGGACGGCAAATATTTCAAAATACCAAGCGAACACATGCTAGCAGCAATTCAGCGCAATCAGCATTTCACAAACTACAGAGAATAAATCATATAGAAAAGGAAAATAACAGCTATCCATTTAAAGAAGTCTCAGCTGAGTCCCAGGAAAATATTCATTTTTTAGGGTAAACTCACTCTTGCCATTCATTATTCGAACAACGAAAAATGGTAAAGAGCTTCGAATATTAATTGATACAGGAACTTCCAAAAATTATATTTAAAAAAAACGTATTCCTAACGGGCATTTAAAGAGTGGAAAATCAATTCCAAATAAGATCCGTGAATGGCATTAATAATATAGTAGAGAAATGCCGGATAAATATTTTAAGTAAAGTAACAAATTTTTCAATACTTCCAGTACTCGAAAGCTTCGATGGAATTATATGGTAGGATACGATTTTCTTAAAGAAGTAGAGGCAACTGTTGACGTAAAAAACGATACACTTTTCCATAAAACAGGAAAAGAACAACTTCGTCATTCACGTTGTCAAGAGGTTAACTCTATATCCATTAATTGCAATAATACACCGGAAAATTTTAACTCCGAAGTGAAGCAGTTAGTTGAAACAAATATCGAGGCATTCGCTAATCCCAATAGAGCATTACCTTTTTATATTCGAGTTAAAGCAACTATCAATACAATAACAAACGATCCAATTTATGCAAGAAGTTATCCGTACCCAATATCGGCAGCGGAATTTATAAATAACGAAATAAAAACTCTTAGGCTTATAATTTCCCCATGCACGTCGTAAATAAGAAAGGCGTGAACGAAAATAGAAAACCAAAGCTACGCATGGTAATTGATTTTAGAAAAATAAACGAACTAACGATATCTGATAACTACTCTATACCGGATACAACAGTGATATTGTCCAATTTAAGACCATCGAAGTTTTACATGACTCTAGACCTCAAGTCTGGGTTTCACCAGATAATTTCAGACGAAAAAGATAAGCATAAAACAGCCTTCAGTGTACATAATGGTAAATATGAATTTTGTCGCTTACCATTCGGCTTAAAAAATGCCCCTAGTATCTTTCAGCGAGCTATTGATGGCATTTTGCGGAATGACATAGGAAACACATGCCACGTTTATATGGATGATATAATCATCTTTTCCTTAGACAAAATCAATCATCTCAACCATGTCAGTAATATTTTGAACAAATTAAAAAACGCGGGAATGCGCGTTTAACCTGAGAAATCTTAGTTCCTTCAAAACGAAGTAGAGTTTTTAGGATTTGTTGTCTCAAATAATAGCATTAAAACATGAACGGGTAAAGTTAATGCAATTTTAAACTACAAACAACCAAAGTCGTTGTGATCACTGCGTGCCTTTCTAGGATTATCCGGATATTATCAGAGATTTGTAAGGGATTACGCGGCAATAGCAAAACCACTAACTGCATACCTACGAGGAGAAAATAGTTATATTGGAACCAAACAATCAAAACATACTAAAATAAATTTAAATGTGAATGCAGTAAAAGCATTTAATAAATTAAAGCAAATATTAGCTTCAGAGGATGTACTTCTACAGCATCCAGACTACGATAAGGCCTTCGAGCTTACCACTAATGCATCATCAGTTGCTTTAGGTGCAGTATTATCCCAAGAGGGTAGACCAATAACAATGGTCTCTAGAACCCTAAACAAGTGTGAAGAAAACTACGCTACGAACGCGAACTACTAGCAATAGTTTGGGCTTTATAAGCATTACGTCACTACTTATATGTATATATCCTCACATTTTCAATATCGGCCAAGAATCCTAATTCAAAAATTAAAAGGTTGCGTGCATTTATAGAGGAATTTTCCCCAAATTTTTTCTATAAAGCAGGGAAAGAAAACAAAGTAGCATACGCCTTATCTAGGCAATATATTAATTCAGACGAAAATACAGTCCACAGTGAAGAATCTTCATCTGATATAATTAAAACAGTAAACACCCCTGTGAACCAATTTAGAAATCAACTAATTTTGTCCCATTGCAATTCAAATAATAAAAACACTAAAATCCTATTTAAGAGATTTGTACGCCACACAATAAATTTTAAAAACACAGAATTTCTGTTAAATACAATCAAAGATAAAATAAACCCCAATGTAGTAAATAGTCTACACTGCTATCTAACAACAATTCAAAATCTGTTAAAAAGGGAATATTCAGGTATTAAATTCATTCACACGAAGAAACTTGTATTCGATTTGACTAAAAAGGAGGATCAAATGGAGACAGCAACAACGGAGCACAACAGAGACCACAACGTTGCACAACAGAGAAGAACACTACTTCCCAAAAATGAAACAATTCTCAAAAATATTATCGCAAATTGTAAAATATGCCATGAAAATATGTACCAAAGAAAACCACCAAATCCAGGTATTGGTGAAACTCCAATACCAAATTATCTCAGAGAAATACTCCATATAGATGTTCTAATAACAAATAAGTCACACGTATCGATAAACTGACAAAATTTGTAATAGTTACACCGATAGCGTCAAGAACAGCAAATTAGATCTGTTACAAATTTTAAATAAATATAAAAAAACCAGACTTATCGTTTTGGATAACGAAAAACCATTCCAATCGAATGCATTATCCACTTTTTTACGTGATCATTTCGAAATCACGCAATTTTTCTTATTAACTCTTCATAGCGAAAGCAACGGCCAAGTTGAACGATTACATTCAACGTAACGGAGCTCATACTACTAGCCACTATTAAATACAATAATACTGTACATTCTGTAACAGATTCCAAGCCGGTTGATTTGCTTGACTCTAAAGATAGTAAAACAATTTCAAAAGTTAAAGTAAAATTATAGAATCTCAAGAAAAACTACTAAGGAGAGCTAATAGAAAATAATAATAGACAAACATCAACTCTGTAATACAGAACCAAATTAACGAACTCACAGACAGAATAAATGACTTAAACTCAGCATAAAATTCTGATAATTCTATCTCGAAAGGGGAAGAAATTCTAAAGCAATATATTATAAATCGAAATAATTATGTTATCAATCATTTAGATAATTTAGCTCTTTCCGTGGTCTTGGCAAAAAATAATATGATTAATCCACTTATTTTAAATACTGTTGAAATTAATGATCTGATTGACTCTGAAAATATACCCCGTAGTTTAAATAACATCTTAAGAGTATCCAAAGTAAAAGTTTTACAAAATAATGATATCATTTTATATGTAATAAAAATTCCTAGAATAGATAAATATTGTAATTATGTTAAGGTATTTCCTGTTATTCATAACAATTCTATAATAAGATTAGATATCGATGCGGCAGCAGATTGTGATGGCATCATGCAACCGATTCGAAATTGCTTAAACACTTCTATAGCTAACATCTGCACATCATCAACATCATCTTGCCTGTCACAGTTTTTAAATAATAACACAGCTGCATGTTCCACTGAATCATCACATAATCTACCGTTAGTTCAGCAGGTACAATAGGGTACTATAATATTAAACGATGTTTCATCCACTACGGTTGAAGACGTTCATAAACTTAATATATCGGGTACATTCCTGATAACATTCAAAAACACTATTTGATGATATCAAATATCAATTAACTGGTCGGAACGGAGGTGTTCCGAATTTAAGACAGGGAAGAGTTAATGCCGCTGACATTTAATGTCAGAAATACTTAATTAAGCTAAGGTTGCAGCGTCGGCAACGTAATTCAGATCATGCTAAATAGCATGCAGGTGGTACTACAACAATCATTGCCCCTACATGTTGCAGATGCAACGTGCATCGTGAACGTGAAGGAAACGTTTGGATTAATAAAGACAAAAAAAAATATCGTTCGAGACTTTACCTGGGTTGTCCTACGCTGTCCAAGAGCACCTTGCATATGTTAGGCATATGCAAGTTTTAGTGCTGCCAATAGAGCAGAACATGTAAATTAGGAGTTTTGATTTATATATTCGGAATGTAGAAAAAGACCAAAACAAACAAAACGTTAGGAGAACAGAAGGTTTTGCAAACCCGCCAATATTGGTAACTGGAGAAAAAGTTTTAAAAAAAGGCCAGTTACAAGTATTAGTGGAAGTATAAATTAGGAAGCGGAGCTGTAAAACAGAGGATTATTTGAATTTTGCGAGTGATCGGAGGAGTAAATTGTATGTCGGAATAAATAAATTGTTGAATATTATGCTTTTCTTTAAACATTATTGTAACATCCTAATACTACGTTTTGGGATAGAAACTTTTATTGTTAATTTGCAAACACTTGTTTTATGTTAAAAAGCTCTCTCTTGCTTCCGGTTTTTTATTCCGTAAACACTTTTGTTCTTTCACGTGTTAGCTAAACATCACATCAAATGTATATATCTTTATTCATTATATTATATCCAAATCAGTAGAAGTGATTTAATAAAGTAACGCATTGATATCAAGTTAAAATATCACAACATAAATTATATACAATATAATAAAAAAAAAAGAAAGAAAAACTAAGTTTGTTTGTCCCTTGCTAGGTAGTCACCTTGTCGTGGTGTAGGGGCTTATTGTGGACTGAAGCATGTCATATGGAAGTCATGACATGATGATTTTTCATGTAACATGATTCAGCACACAAACTAAGAACTGCCGCCAACGCTCAGGTTGAAAGTAGGTATCTACGATTCCTGATCAGTCGTTGAGGCTAGCTAGTGGACTTTAATGGACACTTGCTAATTGGTCAGTCCTATAGGAAAGTGCGGCTATCTATCCGACCAATGACTCGCCTTCAGTACGGTCATGTCTCTGCTGTTTGTGGGTCGCCGATAGTCGGGCGGGGGAGAAGGAAAACTCCCTAGGGCAGGGTCTGTACATATTCTAGGCTCCCAAGGCTAGGTCTTGATAGACTGGAATATGAACATACTTATTGCCCCAAACAAACCCCCTAAACTCACAGTGGAACAGCTATGCTGGTGAACTTGCTTGACAGGGTAGAGTCAAGCTAAATAGCGAACTCCGTACCAGGTCTGGCAAACCTACGGTTTCAATTTGTCCTTCCCATGGGGGCGCTCATGGGTGACCAACCTGCACGGTTTATTTAAACTTACTTTGTATGGAACTAAATAACATCTGTGGGGCAGGCTAAACACAGTACTTCTCCCGAAGACCATTGTTCAAAGCCTACCCTAGCAGAGACTGTTCGCTCTAAGAAGATCGGTATACTACCGCACAATTTCCCAGAGGGCATTTGGTCCAATGAGGAAATTGGCAAGGTGCAGAAATGCATCCTCGACAAGATGTACGAAACTTGTCGAGCTCCTGGGGTGAAGCCTCATTTCGCCGGTTACAGTCTAAAGCCCGGATGGTTTACCATTAACTGTCTGGACGACGAGACTGTAACTTGGTCTAAAGAGACAATCCCAGCCTTGAAGCCGTGGGAAGGAGCCCAGCTGAAGGTAGTGGACGAGACAGAAGTGCCAAAGTCTGAAATCTATGTTGGCTACTTCCCAGGCTCAGCTTCCTGGCAAAGCGACCGTATTCTGGGACAAATTGAGTGCCAAAATTCGGGCATGCGTGTCAGGGACTGGAGGGTACTCCACAGGCTCAATAAGGGCGATATCGTCGAGATGGCGATTGCTCTGGATCCTATGTCGTCCGAAATGGTCGGAAAGCTGGGCAATAAAGTCTTCTATGGACTTAGCAGTGCCGTGCTGAGACCAAAACATAAAGGAAACAGAGCAAGGAAGTGGTTGAAGATGAGCGACCAACAACATCTG